GTATTATATTTAAAATAATATAGCTTTGAGGTAACAGTTGTCCTTAAAAGCGGTTTCCAATGATGCCAATACTACACTAAACAATCTTCTATGGCACAAGAAGGGGAAACTTCCCCTGTTACAAACTCTCAAGCTTTTAAAAAAACTGTAATACAGACACTGAGAAGGAGCAAGCGAAGTGCGCCTGTAGCTTCCGGTAGCACTGTGGAGATAAAGGAACAGGGGGAAAACCCTCCCTGACTGAGTGACAGCTGGTAAGGCATTTCGGCATGGATTTATAAGAGTGCTAATTAACACGGAAATTGACACTTTTAGAAATTGTCAAAATGACAGACTCCAGGCACGAGGCACTTCAACAATCTCAAATGTTTTATATCTGAATTGTTCCGTTATCTCCTAAATGGCAGAGAATTGAGCAGCGACACTGCAGGGCAGTATCTATACTCCAAAACTGCTTCATTAAGATACAGTTTTTTTGACAACTATAGTGTCGCTTTACGCTAAAGTTGTTTTGGAGACTATAGTGTCCCTTTACGCTAAAGTTGTTTTGGAGACTATAGTGTCCCTTTACGCTAAAGTGGTTTTGGAGACTATAGTGTCCCTTTACGCTAAAGTTTTTTGGAGACTATAGTGTCCCTTTACGCTAAAGTTGTTTTGGAGACTATAGTGTCCCTTTACGCTAAAGTTGTTTTGGAGACTATAGTGTCCCTTTACGCTAAAGTTGTTTTGGTGCCACACTGACTGAAATGATGAATGCTCAGACTGACGTTACATCATAGCTGTAATATGTCATTCCCAGAGGAGAATGTTGGTTATTTTCTCAGTTTGCCTCTCTTTATTGTACTAGAAATCTTGTTTAAATAAAGAGTTTTAAAAATAAAAATAAAATTAGAATACACAGGATAGAATGCTTTACACTGCAGTGGTCACTGGGATATAATGCTTGTAGAATATGATGGGAGTTGCAAGGTCTCGAGCCTGATTCACACTAAATGCACAGAACTGAGAATCATCGCTAATCTCATTCTGTTTTAACCACGTATACTATATATACGTATCATTACACCAGTGATAGTACCACAGGGATTCATTGTATCCACGTATACTATATACACGTATCATTACACCAGTGATAGTACCGCAGGGATTCATTGTATCCACGTATACTATATACACGTATCATTACACAAGTGATAGTACCGCAGGGATTCATTGTATCCACGTATACTATATACACGTATCATTATACCTGTGATAGTACCACAGGGATTCATTGTATCCACGTATACTATATACACGTATCATTACACCAGTGATAGTACCGCAGGGATTCATTGTATCCACGTATACTATATATGTGTCATTACACCAGTGATAGTACCGCAGAGATTCCTTGTATCCACGTATACTATATACACGTATCATTACACCAGTGATAGTACCGCAGGGATTCATTGTATCCACGTATACTATATACACGTATCATTACACCAGTGATAGTACCGCAGGGATTCCTTGTATCCACGTATACTATATACACGTATCATTACACCAGTGATAGTACCGCAGGGATTCATTGTAACCACGTATACTATATACACGTATCATTACACCAGTGATAGTACCGCAGGGATTCATTGTATCCACGTATACTATATACACGTATCATTACACCAGTGATAGTACCGCAGGGATTCATTGTATCCACGTATACTATATACACGTATCATTATACCTGTGATAGTACCACAGGGATTCATTGTATCCACGTATACTATATATGTATCATTACACCAGTGATAGTACCGCAGGGATTCCTTGTATCCACGTATACTATATACACGTATCATTACACCAGTGATAGTACCGCAGGGATTCATTGTATCCACGTATACTATATACACGTATCATTACACCAGTGATAGTACCGCAGGGATTCCTTGTATCCACGTATACTATATACACGTATCATTACACCAGTGATAGTACCGCAGGGATTCATTGTAACCACGTATACTATATAAATGTATCATTACACCAGTGATAGTACCGCAGGGATTCATTGTATCCACGTATACTATATACACGTATCATTGCACCAGTGATAGTACCGCAGGGATTCATTGTATCCACGTATACTATATACACGTATCATTGCACCAGTGATAGTACCGCAGGGATTCATTGTATCCACGTATACTATATACACGTATCATTACACCAGTGATAGTACCGCAGGGATTCATTGTATCCACGTATACTATATATACGTATCATTACACCAGTGATAGTACCGCAGGGATTCATTGTATCCACGTATACTATATACACGTATCATTACACCAGTGATAGTACCGCAGGGATTCATTGTATCCACGTATACTATATACGTATCATTACACCAGTGATAGTACCGCAGGGAATCATTGTATCCACGTATGACCAGTGGCTGCACAGACCACCAGTGGTAACTAATGTTAGGGATACAAACAGGTCTTCCTATTGCTTGAGTGCTATGCTAACCATTTGGATTATTGCCGTCTATCCATTAACCATTAAGTAAAGCATTTAACTTATCGTTATTTCCCAGGGGCTCTTGTCTCACTGCGGTCATCGGTCCTGACGATCTTAGCCAATCCTCTGCTTATCCATGGGGAGAGTAGTGTGCATGCACGGCAAATCAGCATCTCCATGCAGACAGTGGAGAAGCCATCCGAGTGATTTAAAGGACCACTATAGTGCCAGGAAAACATACTCGTTTTCCTGGCACTATAGTGCCCTGAGGGTGCCCCCACCCTCAGGGTCCCCCTCCCGCCCGGCTCTGGAAGGGGAAAAGGGGTAAAAACTTACCCTTTTCCAGCGCTGGGCGGGGAGCTCTCCTCCTCCGATCCTCCTCTTCTCCTCCCATGCGGTTCAATGCGCACGCGCGGCAAGAGCTGCGCGCGCATTCAGCCGGTCGCATAGGAAAGCATTTACAATGCTTTCCTATGGACGCTTGCGTGCTCTCACTGTGAAAATCACAGTGAGAAGCACGCAAGCGCCTCTAGTGGCTGTCAATGAGACAGCCACTAGAGGATTAGGGGGAAGGCTTAACCTTCTCTGAAACTGCTATAATTATGAAAAAATGGGTTAACCCTAGAAGGACCTGGCACCCAGACCACTTCATTAAGCTGAAGTGGTCTGGGTGCCTGGAGTGGTCCTTTAAACACTGCCATTTCTCAGGCAAGCCAGCATTTACACTGCTCGGCCTGCATGGACAGGAGCTTGCCCCATAACAACTTCATTATATGGGTGTCCATGGCACCAGCTTAACTTTGAGGGATAAACAGTTAATGAAGTGTTGAATCCAGCGCCGGCTAGCTGTGCTCCTTCTGATTTTGTTTGAGACTTGAATCAGGAAGTCTTGTACAGTGGGTTGCTACTATGCCGAGCGCGCTAGCTGACACTAACCAATGCACGGCGATCCTGACGTTCCTAGGCTTCGGGATTCAAGTTGGGACAAAAGTGAAGGAAAGCAGAGCTAACTAGTGCTGCATTCAACACTTTGCAGTTAAACTGTTCATTAACGGTTTAACCCCAAAAGGTAAACCAGCGCTGCAGTGGTTCTGGTCCCCACAGTGTCCCTTTAATGAGGTAACTATTAACTACCTGACTGCCACAGAAATCTGCCTAACCAACCAATGGTAGAAATTAGTTTCTGGGAAGGCAGGGGTTAAGAGGGTCAGGTAATTTGTATTCTGGTGTAACATACAGGTCAGGAGGTAAATGACATTAAGATATGCTGCCACATGCATGGCGCAGGTTAAATACAGAAACGACACACATCACAAGATTACTATACACCCCAATACATCTGTTAGAGATATTTACTAAACGGGAGAATTGCTGGAAATTCAAAGTGAAGGAAAATATAGCAAGCCACAGGCACAGCCGACTTGGAGAAACTTTTCTTGCTTGGTTATTTTGAGATTAAAGTTAGAATTCCCGACAATTCTCAATTTAGCTAGTATATGTCAACGTATCCTTCACCTCTCAGGATAAACGACTGCATTTACCACCTCTGCTGGAAAGCGATGCAATGCAACAACTAGTGGATAACAATGAATAATATTTGAGGCTGATAGTGCTAGTTTGAACACAGGAGATATCAGAATTCAACTCCAACAATGCTCAGGCAGGAAACAAAGACTGCTTGGGTTTTATAAAAGTTGTAAATCTCTGAAATTGGATCTCAAAATGTTACCGCTCCCTTCAAAGGGAGTTTCTAATCAATGTATTTCACATGTGGCTAGACACACTGCTCCATCAATGGGAGATACGATATATCTAGATAGATGAATGATACACAATAGACAGACAGATAAATGCTAAACAATAAACAGATTATATACAAAAGATGGATAATATAGACAAATAAACAAGTCTACAATTAGATAAATGCTAGACTTACAGTCAGCTGACTCGCTCTGTATGATAAATATCACAATGATCACCAGGACTTGCTTTAGCCCACCGATGCCAATCAGAGTGCCTGCTCCTTCCATGGTCACTGCACTCTCCTGTTAGTCAATATCTGCAGACAGAGCAAAGCTTCAATCTTTAAAATAACAAACTGCACATGGGCTCAGCAAGGGGCTCCAGGACCCATAGTGTCACATTTACAGAGTGAGGTACTGGGGAGAGTGGGACACAGGTTATAGCATTGCTAGCTAGCAAAGTATAGAATGGATAGAGTAAAGGTAGATACTGGGTGGGTCCCAAGTTATAGCATTGCTGGCTGTCAGTGTATAGAGTAAGGGTAGATACTGGAGAGAGTGTGTCCCAGGTTATAGCATTGCTGGCTGTTAGTGTATAGAATGGATAGAGTAAGGGTAGTTACTGGGCAGAGTGTGTCCCAGGTTATAGCATTGCTGGCTGTCAGTGAATGGAGTAGGGGGTAGGGTACTGGGCAGAGTGTGTCCCGGAGTTGGCATTTACTAGCCTTGGGAATATAGAATGGATAGAGTAAGGGTAGTTACTGGGCAGAGTGTGTCCCAGATTATAGCATTGCTGGCTGTCAGTGAATAGAGTAAGGGTAGGTACTGGGCAGAGTGTGTCCCAGGTTATAGCATTGCTAGCTAGCAGAATATAGAATGGATAGAGTAAGGGTAGTTACTGGGCAGAGTGTGTCCCAGGTTATAGCATTGCTGGCTGTCAGTGTATAGAATGGATAGAGTAAGGGTAGTTACTGGGCAGAGTGTGTCCCAGGTTATAGCATTGCTGGCTGTCAGTGTATAGAATGGATAGAGTAAGGGTAGATACTGGGCAGAGTGTGTCCCAGGTTATAGCATTGCTGGCTGTCAGTGTATAGAGTAAGGGTAGATACTGGGCAGAGTGTGTCCCAGGTTATAGCATTGCTAGCTAGCAGAATATAGAATGTATAGAGTAAAGGTAGATACTGGAGAGAGTGTGTCCCAGGTTATAGCATTGCTGGCTGTCAGTGTATAGAGTGAATGGAATCTCAGCCTGCCTGCACACCTGTATGAGGGAGGCGGGGCTCAGAGACAGGCCTGCCCCATTCACCCAGCAGGTATATTTTGTGTATTGAATACATGGCCAATGTATTCCTCACTTTTACTATAACTCCATGTAATATCATCGTTCAGAAACAGGGGGGACTAACCTAAGATAGGGTACAAGCTCTCTGACAACAAAACATCAACATTTAAACCAAATGATTAAAAGTGTAATTTTTATTTCAGTCTCCGGTTTGCAAGCTTGATGTAAACACTATAATGACCCGTTTAGTAAGTCAGGCCCCTAGCTATCGATTCACAATGTGGGATTTATTCACTAAACTGAGCCTGGCCAGGTTGGAGCACTAACTGTGAAAATCAGGTTCCTGCTCACTGCAGATTTTCAAAATGCTTCCTGAAAAATTGCAACTTTGAGACTCAAAATATTTGCATCAAACAAAAATATTTACATGAAAACATATAGTTGTGGGGAAGA